ACCATGGGGGGCTCCACAGGCCGCTTCGAAGCCTCAGTGATTGAGGAGCGCCGCAAGGGGGCGGAGGACTTGCTGCAGTTCACAGTGCACATCCCCGCACTCAACAACAGCCCCCAGCTCAAGGAGTTCTTCCGGGTAGGTGCAGCTGCTCCTGTCGCCTGCGCAGCCCCGGAAGTCACCTGCCTGCCTGCTGCCAGACCACATGCCCTGACTTCCCTCCCCGCTGCCCCGGGGGCTGATCTTTCCCTCCCACAGGGTGGGGAGGTGGCACAGCCCTCTGAGGTGTCCAGGGAACTACACATCCTGCCACCCCCGCTGATCCCCACGCCACCCCTGGACGAGCTCCAGCTGTCCCCACCACTGCCCACAGAAAGGCGGGGCCTTAAGGACTCAGAAGTGCCAGGTACCTGGGAGCCGGCACGGGAGGGCCAGGGTAGGCAGAGGAGGTGGGCTGGCATCAGGGTCCCCTCGGTGAAAAGGATGTGTCCCAGCTCAATTGGGGACAGGACGTTGTGCATCTCAGGAACTCCATTTCTCAGTCTGGAAAATGGGCATGAACCCTTGCGATGGGCTTGTGCACACCTGAGGTCATCGGCAGATGTAGGGAGAGGTGGGTCAGTGCTGACAATGGGGGCAATCAGTGCAGGTGTGCCTGTCCCCCGTGGCCTCCCTCCAGTGGACCCCATGCCATCCAGCCCTGCCCAGGAGGCCCTGGACCTGCTCTTCAGCTGCGGCAGCCCCGAGGAGGCGGGGACTGCTCCCCCTGCCCGAGGGCCCCTCACCGAGGCCGAGCTCGCCCTCTTTGACCCCTTCTCCAAGGAAGGTAAGGAGTGGGGACAGGCAAGGCCTAGGCTGGGCCAGGAGGATGTCGCGGGGAACCTTCTGTGGAGGGGTTGTTGAGGTCCCCAGGGCCCAGGGACTCACAACTTGCAAAGTAGTCAGCATATTCTTGGAGAGCCAGTTAGGAAGGCAAGACTGTTTGCACAAAAGCACAGGGTCACATCCCAGTAGTTACATAGAGCCCTGGAGGATGTGCCGTGTTTGTGGCTTCTGGCTTGTCCAGGTCCTGCACCCCTGCCCAGAGCACAGGTTGGCAGAGGTGTGGGTGGGCAGCAGACCCTGGGCACAGCAGAGCCCCCCTGACCTGAACCCACCCTTTCTGGCCCCTGCCCCGAGCACAGGTTGGCAGAGGTGTGGGTGGGCAGCAGACCCTGGGCACAGCAGAGCCCCCCTGACCTGAACCCACCCTTTCTGGCTGCCCAAGGTGCAGGCTCCAGCCCCACCTGCTTAGGGGAGCTGGCCATGGCAGAGGTCGAGCCCCAGCAGCCGGGTCAGGAACCCTGGGAGCCGGGAGGGCAGGAGGAGGAGCAAGAGAGCGAGCAAGACAAGTCCATCCCTGCCTACGTGAGCCGGGCCACGGAACTCATCACCCAGGCCCTGCGGGACGAGAAGGCGGGCGCCTACCCTGCCGCACTCCAGGGCTACCAGGACGGCGTGCACATCCTTTTACAGGGGGCGCCTGGTATGCAGGGTCTGGGAGAGGAGGCCGGGGTGGTGGGGAAGGGTCACTGGGGTCCCAGGTGACACAGGCAGGATGGCAGAGTGGGAGTGCTTGTCCCCACTAGGCCGCGTTGGGCTGTGTGTAGGCTCCCTGTACGTCTGTGGAATGGGGAGAACGGGCACCGGGCCCTGGAGGGAGGGAGGCTCAGCTTGTGGCCTGTGAGGGCCAAGGGCAGCGCGATCCCTGTCCCCCAGGCAAGCCTGTCTCTGTCCACAGGCGACCCGTCCCCCGCCCGCCGTGAAGGTGTGAAGAAGAAGGCGGCTGAGTACTTGAAGCGGGCGGAGGAGATCCTGCACCTGCACCTGTCCCAGCCCCCGCCCTGAGATGGGGTGCACTCCGGGGATCCAGCTCCAGCACTGCCAGCTGCCCCACCACCCCGTCCTCCCCTCAGGGCCTGGCCCCCCTACTTCCTGAGCTCATAACCCCAGGGGGCCATTTCCATATGTATCTGGACCAAAAATGAGTACAGAAATGGATTGCTCAGCTCTGCTCCCTTGTGACAGCAGCCTCCTCAGGGGATTCAACTTCCGACCCTGCCAGTCTCTGTCCGGGTCACAGAATGACCGGGAACTGCAGCCCACAGGCAACTCTGACTCACTACCCTACCTTTTGTACATTCGTGAGCTAGAATGGTGATTTTCATCTTTTAATGGTTTGAGGTGAAAAAACAAAAGACATCTGTGGCAGGTGCAAACTTGATGAAATCTGTTTATTAGTAAAACTCACACAACACCTGCCAGAGGGGAAGTCTAAATCATCTACTCCCTGGTAGCGCTTTGAAGGAAAACTTGCTGGCCCCCCAGCTGTTCAGGGGGGAAGATAATCTCCATGGCAACGGTGGGGCGTGGCCAACTAACAGAGCCATTTTATGGGGATGCCGGAGAGGAATCCTGAGCAGGGTGCCCGTTGAGCACCATCCATCACTGGGGGCGTGTCCCTGTGCAGGCAGGGGTTGGGGGTGTGGATCTGCACGAGGGAGGGCATGGCCCTAACACCAAGAGGGCGTGGTCTGCGCCGGGGGGGGGGGGGGCCCTGGGAGGTGGCGTTGGGGCGTGGTCTGCGCCGGGGGTGTGTCCCTGGGAGGTGGCGTTGGGGCGTGGTCTGCACCGGGGGCGTGGCCTTGCTGCCCGCCCCACCCGTGCGCGGGTCCCTGAGCGGTGCACCCTGGGAGGGCGGCCCCGAGGAGGAGCGCGACGCCCAATTCCGGGCGTTGTCCGTGCCCGAGCCCGCGGAACTGTTAGGGGCGTCTGCGGGACTCGGCGCCGCGCTTCCAGGGAGACCGACTGGACGGGACCGCGTGAGGCCGCGGTGGGCAGGGCCTGCCGGGCTGCGGCGCGCCGGAGCCCTACAGCAAAGGACCGGGCCGAACGGCCGCCGCCGTGCCCGGGTCGCTGAGCGCCCCCCGTGCCCCGCGGCGCGCCCATGCCCGCCTGCCAGCTGCCGGTGGGCACGTGCCCGGACATGTGCCCGGCCGCCGAGCGCGCCCGGCGCGAGAGGGAGCGCCGCCTGCACCGCCTGGAGGTGGCCCCGGGCGGAGGCGGGGACCGACCCCGCGCCGACCCGCAGCGCACGGTGAAGGAGTACAGCCGGCCGGCCGCCGGCAAGCCCCCGCCCTCGCCCAGCCAGCTGCGGCCGCCCTCCGTGCTCCTGGCCACCGTGCGCTACCTGGCCGGCGAGGTGGCCGGGAGCGCGGAGGCGTCGCCCGCCGAGGTGGCCGGCTTCGTGGCCGACCGCCTGCGCGCCGTGCGCCTGGACCTGGCGCAGCAGGGCGCGGGCGACGCCGAGGAGGCGGTGGTGCTGGAGGCCGCGCTGGCCACGCTGCTGGCCGTGGTGGCGCGGCTCGGGCCGGACGCGGCTTGCGGGCCGGCGGACCCGGTGCTGCTGCAGCTGCAGGTGCAGGAGGCCTTCGGCTCGCTGCGGCGCTGCTACGCGCGGGGCGCGGTGCCGCCCGCCCGCCAGGCCACCTTCCAGGGCCTCTTTCTGCTCTACAACCTAGGTGAGTCAGGGGTCCCGGCTGGTAGAGAAGCCCTTGCTCAGAGCCGCAGGGCCCTGCCCCCACCTCCCAGGGCGGGCCGGGCGGGAGGGTTGGTCTTCATCTCCTAACCTTTATTTTTTTTCCCCCTAATCTTTTCTTAACCTGCGTTCCCAGGTGGTGCTGCCAAACCCCCCGTGGGTGGGGCAGCCTGATCCTATTTCGTTGTCATAAATTAAATGGATTTCCTTAGCGGCAAGGAGGCTGTAGGGACAGTAACCGAGGACCCTGGCTGTGGAAGGGAAGCAAGGGAAGATTTTTCTTTGAAGAAATGGCCTTTCCAGGCCGTCAGGGGAAAGTGGACACAAGGCAGCTGGGCTAGTGGGGAAACCTGGTGTGTGTGTCCACTAGGGCCTCCCCACTCCCTCCTAGCGGAAATGGGCGGGGTGGGTGGGCTTGACCCACGCATGCTCATCCTGGCCGGCCCCCCCCTTTGCAGGCTCCGTGGAAGCCCTGTGGGAGATTCTGCAGCTGCCCGCGGACGTGCGCGCCTGCCCCGGTCTTCGTCTGGCCCTGGCAGTGGATGCCGCCTTCCGCGAGGGCAACGCTGCTCGCCTGTTCCGCTTACTCCGGACTCTGCCTTACCTGCAAAGCTGTGCGGTGCAAGGCCATGTGGGCCGCGCCCGCCGTGAAGCCCTGGCACGACTGGCTCGGGCCCTGAGTACCTCTAAGGGACAGACCTTGCCTCTCGGATGCCTGGTGCACCTTCTGGCCCTGGATGGAACCCACGAAGCACGGGAATTGTGCCAAGCCCACGGGCTGCCCTTGGACGGAGAGGACAGGGTTGTGTTCCTGAGGGCGTGTTACGCTGAACGAGGGCCGCCCCCCTCTGGCACCTGCCACGTGTTGGTGGCAAGCAAGTTGCAAGGACGCTCGATAGAGGAGGTGGTCATGGCAGAAGAAGAGGAGGTGGGCAGCACCAGATGCCCAGGCTGAGCAAGGAGTGGGCTCTCCTTCTCCTGGATCCCCTGGCTGGACATCAGACTTCTGTTCTCATGATTCTCAATAAAGGAAACTTTATTTTGTGGTGCCCAGGAGCTAAGGAGGAGGTAAGAAGATGTGACCCACCCAGTGCATGGCAGGAGGCAGCAGGCCGGGCTGTTTCCCTGCTGGTCTGAGAGTGGCATTGGCACCCAAGACTGGCATCAAGCATCCCAGTCCCCCTCCTCTTGGTGGATTTTGCCATCCTCACCACCCCCAGTCCTGCTTCCTGATGGCATCCCCCTACCAATCAGGGGCTGGGGTGGGCAGGATTGTCCTGTGGAGCTTGTCCCCTCCCCAGGTGTCTGCCCCTGGAGGGGTCCCAGAAGCTGAGAGTCCCATTGGGGGAGAGCAGGGCCACCCCGCAGCAGGATGAAGGGCACAGGGTTAGCAGGTCAGGAGCACTCAGGAGAGGCAAGGCTGGGCTCAGAGGCCAGGTCCAGGCCTCAGGGTGGTAGCTGCACCCTCCAAGGCCACCACGACGATGCTGAGCTGCCGCTGCACCTCGGCCCAGGCCTCGGAGCCCGGCTCAGTGCCATTGGCGCTGGCGAAGGCGTTGGCCAGGCCTGGGAATGTGGCTGTGGAGCCCGTGCGGGGCGCCCAGAGCACATGGCTGATGGGAGAAACGGGTCAGGGTGAGGCCAGCTGGGTCCAGACAAGAGGACCCTCCGCCCTGGCCCACAGTGGCCCCCGGAAAGCTCTCCCAGCTAACATCTCTATGTGCTGGGGTCGCCAGGGAGACTGGGTTCCACTATCAGCTGTGACTTTGCCACCCCTCCCAGAGCCCACTTCCCCCAGCTGCCTCCTGGGGGCTCAGAACCAACGGGACTGACATCACACCCCCCAGCAGGTGGCCGTGGCTGGCTCGGCCCTGACGCAGGTGCACACCCCAGACCTCGAGCAGACTCACCTGTAGTAGCGCGCCTCTGGGAAAGCTCGCGGGTTCAGGAAGGCACGTTCCAGCAGCATGAGCTGGTCATTGAGCATGCGCACCTGCAGGGGGCTGGGGGAGGCAGGGCATGCTGGTCACTCTGCGGTCAGTAGCAGCCTGGTAGGCCCCTACCCAGTGTCCCTGCTCACCTGGGGCTGCCCTGCCGCGTGGTCTGAATCTGCTGGTCCAGGGCTGCAGCTGCCGCCTCAAACTTCTCCACTGCAGTTACCAGAGGCCCTGTGGGGGGACAGCCAGCTGAGATGAGGGGTGCGGGGCCAAGGCAGAGCTCCCGGAGTGACCAGTCCTGGGGGTGTCTGTACCTAGAGGGATGCCGTGTTGCTCCAGCTGGGCTCCCAGGGCACTCTGGGCCTCCTGCAGGTAGCTGCGCAAGGTGTCGCTGTAGTCACTGACATTGAGGGGCAGGAAGAGGCTGTCGCTGAGCCGGAGGATCACGTCGGCCACCGTCTGTGCCACGGCCCGGTGGCTGCCAAAGCCTGTGAGTGGGCGACAAGGCTTGAGCTCAGGCGCTGGCCCTCCCACGCCTCCCATCTCGGGACATCCCAGTGACCCCTCCTCACCAGGGTCCAGAAACTTCTCCACGTAGTCAAAGGTGTCGAAGGCTGTGTGGTAGGTGGGGTAGATCCTGGCCGAGGTCTTGGTCTGGGGAAGGAAAGCACAGAGGGGGTGAGGTACCAAACCAGACAGCAGAAGGGCTTGGATCAGGCCTGGTGTTCATTCCATCCCCATGAGGTGGGGTACAGATCCCAGCTCCCCCCACTGCCAGAGCTGCACAGCCAGGAGGTAAGGGTCAGCGAGCAGGGCTGCACGGCCAGGAGCTGAGGGGCCCGGTGGGACAGCGAGCAGGGCATGCAGACCGGGCACTCAGGGCCCTCACATTGGGACTAGCAGTAATCTCTGTTTTCAGTGTAGTCAGTTCTGATGTAGACTTTTTCTTTTTTTTTTTTTTTTACTTCTTCAATCCTGTGTCCTGATGGGCTGGTACTGTGGTGTAGCAAGTTAACCCTGCGGTGCCAGCACCCCATGTGGGTGCTCTTTTAGAGTCCCAGCTGCTCCACTTCCCATCCAGCTCCCTGCCTGTGGCCTGGGGAAGCAGTAGAGGACGGCCCAAAGCCTTGAGACCCTGCACCCACGTGGGAGACCCAGAAGAAGCTCTTGGCTCCTGGCTTCAACCTGGCCCAGCCTAGCTCTGGACATTGTGGCCATTTGGGGGAATGAATCAACAGAGGGAAGATTTTTCTGTGTTTTCCTTCTCTAACTGCCTTTTTTTTTTAAGATTTATTTTTATTATTTTTTTATTGGAAAAGCGGATATACAGAGAGGAGAGACAGAGAGGAAGATCTTCCGTCCGATGATTCACTCCCCAAGTGAGCGCAACGGCCGATGCTATGCCTATCCGAAGCCAGGAGACTCTTCCGGGTCTCCCACACGGGTGCAGGGTCCCAAAGCCTTGGGCTGTCCTCAACTGCTTTCCCGGGCCACAGGCAGGGAGCTGGAAGGGAAGCGGGGCTGCTGGGATTAGAACCGGCGCCCATATGGGATCCCGGGTGTGCAAGGCGAGGACCTTAACCACTTGCGCCACCGTGCCGAGCCTTCTAACTGCCTTTTAAATTAAAAAATATATATATGTGTGTGTGTGTGTGTAAGTATATATATAATGTTTAAAGGGTAAATTTACACTTAAAATCATCTGCCAGCCGATACTTCTTGTAGTCAGCATCACCCACAGCTGATGGGCAGCTGTCTCCCCATCCAGAATAGGCACTGGGTGAGATTGGGCGGCTTGCAGGCCATTCCCTCTCACAGTGACTAAAACCCCAGAGGCTTTGAGAGGTGGAGGGGCATGGCTGAGGCAGTGGTTGAGCAGGAGCAGCGGTGGCAAGGGGCGGTGGAGGGCGCCTGCTCACCGGGTCATAGGTGTAAGCAATGTCCATGGACGAGATGCCCAGGAAATGCACAAAGGGTGCGTAGTCGCTGCCGGCCCCCAGTGTGCCCAGCCTGGGGAAGGAAAGGGAGGAAGGGGGTGAGTCTGGCTGGAAGCCGTGCTGGGCAGCCGTGCCCCCCTCGGTCCCCCATTCTGTCTCTGGCTCACCTGGGGATCACGCCATATACTGGACTGCTGCGGTTCAAGTGCCGGACCCAGTTGTCATAGACGCTGAGGTCCCTGAGGCCTGGGGCTTGGACCTGGCCCAGAGGGGAAGCTGGTCTCGCCGCAGGTCCCACAGGGCAGGTCCTTCCCGAGTGGACCCACAGCCCACCAGGCTGGCCCCAACCTGGGTCCCGCCCACCCCTGACACCCTCACCTCTTTGGTTGCCGTAAAGACCACACTCTGGACAGGGGGCGTGCCTTGCACCCTCAGGGTGGCGTTGGCTGCGGGAGGAGCAGAGAAATGTTGGGGAGCCCTCCAGGCGGCCACCTCTGCACCCTGCCCCGCTCCCCCTCCAGTCCTCACCAAACACGGAGATGTCCACGTTGATGTAAGCGACTGCACGCTCCTGCAGGCTGCTGAAGAACTCCTGGGAGTGGGGGATGGGGCCGGGGAGGAAGCCAGAGGCCATGTTGGCTGGCTGCCCTGCTTCCTCTCCCTAGCTCCCTCACCATCCTCTCTCCCCTGGGTGGCCCACTCACCTCCGTGAATTCTGTGGAGCCAATGAGTCCAAACTCCTCCGATCCCCAGCTCCCGAACACAATGGATCGGCGGGGTCGCCAGGTGCCTGGGGCAGGGGCAGGAAAGGGTGGACTGCACCTGTCTGTCTTACTCCCATTCAATCCACAACACTAACCAACACCAGACTCTCTCAGTCACAGTCTCTTTCCCCGGGATACCCTGCCTCCCTGTTCCTCTGGGGGTGCTCTGGGGAGACCTCAGGACCCTGCCCCTTGGCTCCCTTGGGCCAGCCCATCCTCACAACAGAGCCTTGGAGGTGACATGACCACTGCCAGGTCATGGAGGAGGAAACAGCTGGCAGCAGCAGGGCCAAGTTCAAAACCAGGTTGCTGGTGCCAGCATCCTGGGGCTTCCTGCACCGACCACCCCTGTGCCCCTGGCAGCGGCCCACACTTAAAATCATCCGGCTTCCACCTGCAGCTCTGTGCCACACACATCCCTGCTCCCAGAGACCTTGGGCCTCACTTGCCCCTTCCACCTCCTCTCAGCCCCTCTGGTAGGTGGCAGGCTGGGCAGGCCGGCCACGAGGGGCTCCCAGTTCTGCCCCCACCTGTGTGTAACAGCCAGCCTTCCATCATTCTCTGTGTTAAAGGGGGCATATGAAATGATAACACATGTACAATGACAGATCCCCACACTTTTTCCTACCCTCTTACTGCCTCTAAATGCCTGACCTGAGTCAAATCAGCTATTTCAGTTGGAAAACACCGAACAAAGTAACAACAGAGCATGAAGGACAAAGAGCTGACAGCGCTGACAGACGCACAGAGACCAGCAAGACCCTTGTTGTGTGATCCTGAATGGGATCTTGCACCAGAAAAGCTTTCTGCTATAAAGGTCGTATGGGGAGGGGGGAGGAAGAAGAGGGGGTCCATTGTCATGGCATGGTAGGATAAGCCTCCACTTGTGGCAGCGTCACCCTAAACGGGGGACGATTTGAGTCCAAGCTACTCCACTTCTGATCCGGCCTCCTGCTTATGACCTGGGAAAACAGCAGAATCTGACCCAAGTCCTAGGACAACCTGCACCCACACGGGAGGCCGGGAAGAAGCTCCTGGCTCCTGGCTTCAGCCTGGCCCAGCTTGCCTGCTCTAGGCATTGAGAGTGGGAACCAGTGGAGAGGAGTTCTCTCTTCTCAAATAAATGAACACAAATTAAAAACAGAAGCAAACACTAAACCAGCAAGACAGAAATCCCTGCGCTACCCAAGTCAGAAGGCCAGCCTCTCTCCTCAGCTGACCTCCTCCGCAGGCCCAGGCACCCAGGTGGCCAACCTCCTGGTTCGGTTCATCTCTCAGGTCTCTGCTGACCCGCAGACTGGCCCCCCACCAGCTGTCCCTGTGTCCTCTTCTCACCCAAGGGTCTTTTGGGGACCTCAAGGTCCACATGTGAGCAGGTACAAATGCATAGACTGATGTCAGCAGTGTGGATGGGGTGGAGGAGTGGAGCTTGTTCAGAACTGGGATTTTGTGGGTGGTTGAAGTCACTGATATCAGCTCAGGGCACACAGCTCTATCTTCAAGCTGCTCTATGGGAGATGGCAAAGTCCTGGAATGGATGGCAGTGATGGTTCCACAACATGATGGATGGTTCGGTCCCTGCCACCTCTGTGGGAGATCCGGATGGAGCTCCAGGCTCCTGGCTTCAGCCTGCTCCAGCTCTGGCTGCTGGAGGCATCAGCGAGTGAGTCAGCAGATGGAAGATGACTTTAAAAAAATACTTAAGGCTAAAGAAGGAAATCAATCCATACAGAACCGAAGGGGCTGTGTCACCCTCCACCTGCTGTTGCCTCCGGCCTATTCTCTGTTGGTGGAGCCGCCAGAGGCAGTTACTCAAACCAGAACCTTCCACCATGCTCTCCTCCTTTCCAGCCCTCACAGACCCCACCTGGTCCTGCCCCTGCTGCTCCCCACCCTGGTCCTGGCCCCACAATGCCACCTGCCCCGATGACAGCAATGCCCCCTCCTTTCCTTGCTTGCTCTCTTCACGATTTCCATTCTGACATTCTCTAGGTTCAAATCTTTCATGCAAACCCCCAGCTCCCAGCCTGCTCAGCGTCCGCCCCAGCCTCTGCCTCCGCTCTCCAAGGTGCTGAAGGACTGAGGTGCCACCTCCGGACCAGCCGTCCCCAAACCAGCCTGGTGCACCACCAACACACAACACACTTTCGGGCCTGGCCTGATAGCGTAGTGGTTAAAGTCCTCGCCTTGCATGTGCCAGGATCCCATATGGGTGTCGGTTTTAGTCCCGGCAGCCCCGCTTCCCATCCTGCTTGTGACCTGGGAAAGCAGTCGAGGATGGCCCAGAGCCTTGGGACCCTGCACCCGCATGGGAGACTCAGAGGAGCTCCTGGCTCCTGGTTCCGGATTGGCTCAGCTCCAGCTGGCCGCTTGGGGAGTGAACCATTGGACAGACAATCTTCCTCTCTGTCTCTCCTCCTCTCTGTATATATCCATCTGTATATCCACCTTTCCAATAAAAATAAATAAATCTTTTTTTTTGGGGGGTTTAGGCTCCTCTGTCCATCCCTGCCCCCCTGCAGGGCTGATCTCCTGAGGTTGGGTAGAGGCTGGGCACTGCCCACTCATGGCAATACCAGCCAGCCAGCTACATTCACACAGGAGGCTGAGGAAGTGTGGTGGCAGGAGGCCACCACAGCCCACTCCCTGGTGTCCTTGGGCCATGCAAGGCTGGGCCTGGTGACCCATGCACCTGCTGGCCTCGTGACCCTCAGGCTTCGGGGGCACGGTCAGGGATGGGGAGGCATGAGCTCAGGAAGAAGAGCACTGGAGGACCAGGCTTGGGCCAGGCCGGGGCCACCTCACCTTTCTTCACCAGGGTCCCCAGCACACGGGTGACCTCGAGGAGCACAGCAGTGCCGCTGCTAGGGTCCACAGCCCCGTGGACCCAGCTGTCCCGATGGTTCCCATACAAGATGTAGCGGTCTGATGGGAGGAAAGGCAGATCAGAAAAGCTGAGAAGAGGAAAGGTGGGCCAGAATGGGCATGGCGGTCCCAGGGGAATGGCCAGCAAAGGGAGGACTCACCTGGCTCTACAGCCCCACGGATGACCCCCAGGACGTTAGACGAGTTTCTCAGCTCCAGGTAGTTATAAATGCTCATGTTCACCTGGCTGCAGAGGGTGAGGGAGTGACAAGCCTTGGCCTCTAGCACACAACCCACTGTGACCTGGGGGGAGCAGGGCGCAAGCCCAGGCCTTCCAATTTGGAGTCTCAGTAGAGCACTTAACAGGGGCTGCACCTGTGCCCAATGCCTTACTGGGACTTCGGACCATGACTGAGACCCACATGGACCCAGCCCTTGTGGGCCTGATCCAGTCAGCCCATGAGGAAACCCAGTGATAAGAGAGGTAGGGTTGGGAAGAAGGGGGTACCTGGTGGTACCAAAAATCAGCATGAGCAGGTTGAGGGGGCACCACCACGTGGGGCTGAGGCCCTGTCCTGGAGGCCGTGGCATGCTGAAGGGCGGGAAGAACTGGGGGGAAGGGGAAGTCATAGGACCTAAAGGGAGGGGCATGTAGCTGTGGATTTGATGTCTCCAAACAGAAAGCAGGAAAGGTTGAAAAAAGAGGGCCTGGTGTAGTAGCCTAGCAGCTAAAGTCCTTGCCTTGCATGCCCGGGATCCCATATGGACACCGGTTCTAATCCTGGCAACCCTGCCTCCCATCCAGCTCCTTGCTTGTGGCCTGGGAAAGCAGTTGAGGTTGACTCAAGTCCTTGGGTCCCTACACTCTCGTGGAAGACCCAGAAGAAGCTTCTGGCTCCTGGTTTTGGATTGGTTAAGCTCCTGCCGTTGTGGCCACTTGGGGAGTGAATCAACAGACAGAAAACCTTCCTCTCTGTCTCTCCTTCTCTCTGTATATCTGACTTTCCAATAAAAAATAAAATTAATCGTTAAACAGAGAGAGAGAGAAAGAAGAAGAAAAAAGGCCAGGCCTGGAGGTAGGAACCTGGGTAGGAGGAGGCTCTTTCTGGTTTGTAGTCATCTGAAGACACACGTGCAGCTGTCCCATTAGGGGTGGGGTTCCTCTCCATCTGTATCAGCCAGGTCATGGCCATGGGGACTTGGCTCTTGACCCTAGCATTTCCACACCCCCTGAGTCTCCACAGTGAGAAGGATGTGGTGGGAGGGCTGATGACCAGGTGAAGGTGGGAGGGCAGCCCCACCCCCTGTGGTCCACACCCCTTCCCTATTCCCAGAAGCCCAAGTCCTCATCCCTTTAAGCTCTGTATAGAAGCATCGCACTCTGAGTCCAACTTTAGATGGCCTATCAAAACGTCTCAGCTCCCTGCTCTTGCATGCCTGGGACGCAGGAGGGGTGGGCCAGGTAAATGGGTCCCAGCCGCTCATGAAGGAAACATGGATCAAATTCCAGGCTGTTGTGAGCATTCGGGGGGGGGGGGGTACACCAGCAAGCTGGAAGTGCCCCCTTCCCCAGCAACTCTGCCTCTTTGATTAAAAGGGATAAAATAAACTTGCCTGTTATTTTTCTTGTTATCTATTGTCAGTTAATTTTAGACTAAAAAGCTCCTGAGACTCTAGAGAAAAAAAGACCAAGAACAAGGGCAGAGGCGAGGAAGGGGAGGGAGGGAGGAAGTGGGAAGGGAAGGGAGGAGAGAGCCCCAACGCACCTGTCTGCTGGAAAGCCAGACTCGAAGCCAGGCCCAAACTTGTAGCTGCAGCCCAGAGCCCCTTGCCAGGAGTCAGGAGCTTTGGATCCGCTGAGATTGCTGAGGAGGGAGCGGCCCCTCAGAGGAAGTGTGGGTATTGGGGTATGCAGGAGTGCCCCCTCTTCTCCCCAGCCCACACTCACCAGAGCAAATTTCTGGCGTCCTGGAAACCAATGGGCTGTGAAGGAATCGGGGGGAACCCAGTGATATTGGCAAGGTTCAGGCGGAAGGAAGAGGGTTTGGCCGGAAGGTAAGGGGTTGCAGGGTCCCCAAAATACTCAAAATAAGAGCCTCGCTCCACCCCCGAGGGGGGCAGGCCCCAGGAGTAGGGGAAGGTCTCGTTGGGGAAACTCTGCCCATCGTTGATGTCAGCTGGATCCGTGTACACCAACAGGCCTATCACCCCATGCCTGGCAGCGTTGATGGCCTGCAGGAGCGAGAGGGGGCTGTGGGGAGGACAGAAGGGGTGGGGCACACCCCCCTCCTCCTCCTTCCTCCTCCACGGTGGGAGCCCGGAGCCAGGACCTGTCCATCTTCCCATAGGTAAGATACTGTTTGCACACAGTATGACATCCCTGCTTGGGACAGCAAGATTGTCAGGCACTGAGCAGATGTTTGTGATACCTGGGCAGGCGTTGTAGGTTAGGCTACAGCTCGGAATGCCCGCAACCCATATCGGAGCGTCTGGATTCAAGACCTAGCTACTCCACTTCTAACCCACTTATCTGCTAAAGTATCCTGGGAGGCAGTGACAAATGAAGGCTCAAGCATTTGGGTCCTGCCACCCCTACGGGAGACCCGGATGGAGTCCCTACCCCAGGCTTTGGCCTGGCCCGTCCCTGACAGCTGCGGGCAACTGGGGAGTGAACCAGAGTGTGAAGATCTCTCTCCCGCCCCTTCTTCTGCCTTTCAAGTAAAGATGAGTCAGTAAACTTAAAAAAAGAAAAGCTGTTGGAAGTTGTCAAACTCATGCCCGTGCGAGGGCATAGGTAAGTGAATGGGGCATGCAATGGTGGAATACACCAGCTGTATCAAAGCACAGGGGTAGGTTTGTGTCCTCACACTGACAGAGGCAGTGTCTGCCACAGCTGAGAGAGGAGACAGCTCGGGTGTTCGTGAACGGATAGACAGCCCGTTGTAGAGAACATATGAGGGAATGCCAAGTGGAAGAAGTCGGGGCCACCATGACAGACATGCTGTCACTCCTCTTACATGAGGCCAGAGCAGGCAGGTCGGAGGACTCGGAAGATAGAACAGGGGTTCCCCAGCGGCTGAGGGGGAGTGGGGAGAAGGTACTGGTGGCTGCAGAGTTTCTTTCAGAGCAATCAAAGGGTAGTGGTTGTGGTTAACGCTGAGGCTGCACAGAACAGCTGGCTGAATGACCCATTTGACCTGGCATTTATTTTACCACTGCAAAAACATGACAACAAAGTTGCAGTTTGGAACCTAGTGAGCAAACCACCTGCTGCATAAACAGCTCAGGCCGGGGACAGGGCCCCCGAGTGGCTCAGCCCACCGCACCCGTTTCTGCAAGCTCTTCCTCCCAAAAGCAAACCCTGGGACATTCTCCCCACCCAACCCTGGACTTGGGGACACAGTGGGGTGTCTCCAGGAGCCCAGTGGCAGAGAATGCCACCCCGTAGCTTTTGCTTTTGGAACCTGGCATTCCCTAACTCAGACACTCATGGAAAAATAAATCTGACCATGCATCTCCATGGTGCTTCTTCCCCTTATTTTTCTTTTTCCCCTTGTCTTAACATGGGCACATTTGGAAAAATTGTAAAATACGCAAAACATAAAACTTGACAAACTTGATAACGTTTTCAGAGGCGATTTTTGTTTGGGAGGCCCAGAGAGAGAGAGAAAAAGCAAAAAAGAGAAAGTGATCCATCTCCTGGTTTTCCCCCAAAGGCCAGGACTTGACCTTGACCGGGCAGAAGCTCAGAGCCCAGAACTCCAGCCAGGTCTCCCGGTGGGTGGCAGGAGCCCGTGCTTTAACTGTCACTGCTGCCGCCCACACTGTCCAGTGGCGAGAAGGCGGGGCCAGCACCTAAAAGCCAAAGGCCGACCACTCCCATGCAAACTTAGTGACAAGTGAGTGGCAGCAGGGACATCCCAGCTGCGTGTGGAGCCCAAGACTTTGTATCCCCGGACAACTAGCTCCCTTCTCCCGCTCCTTCTATACTCTCCTTTAATGTAAAATAGATAAATAAGGAAGTTCCCTGAACCGCAGCATGCAGCCTATCACCCAGGCAAGGGGCAACAGGGACGGAGCCTCCCTGGCCAGCAAAGCTGAAGGTTCGGCCCCGTCTCTTGGTTTCTTAAAGCCCAGAGAGGTGGAGTTGGTACCCAAGGTCACACAGCAGGAAGGAAGATCCCTGTCTGGCTCCGAGCCCAGGTCCAGCCCAGCACCTGGTTCCATTCCTCAGCAGTTCCCACCTCTTCCCCGCCCTGCCACTGCACTGGGGGCTGTAGCTCACCTTGGCCCCACGGCCTACGCCTCCGTAGCGAGTCAGGGCAATGGTGCCTTCGAGTCGGATGCCCGCAGCCTGAAGCGTCTCAAAGTCCTGCTCGGATCCCTGGTTGGCAAAGACGAGGAGGCCCTGGACCCGCCGGGGGTGGGAGGAGAAGTGACTCTTAGAGCTGGCACAGCACCAGGCGGGCGGGGAGGGGGCCTGGCAGGAGCGCAAGAGATGGGGAGGGGTGCGGCTTACCTGGGGGCTCCCGGCAGGGGCATAGGCGGCATAGGGCTGCACCACGTCGGGCCCTGACTGCTCCCCTGTCAAGTCCTCCTCCTTTGGGTGAAAGGTGTGCACATGGCCCTGCGTGGGGCTCACTGGGTGAGGGGGTAGGAGGGGACAGATTCAGGGCTGGAACAAGCAGCTGCCCCCTCCCAGCTTCCCTGCACCCCCAAGCCAGGCCGAGGCCTCCTTACCTATGTGGATGGCATTAGGCTGCCCCGACCTGGGGAAGGACAATAGCACCTCATGATCGTTGGTCTCGGCCAAGTCCAGGCCCGACTTCGGGTCCCGCCAGCGCCGCAGCAGCAGCTGCACCAGGGTCTCATCCCTGTGGCCGGTGGCCATGTGTGGCTCCTGGGACAATTCCCTGCAGCGCGGGGAGGAGAGAAGGGCAGGGCCTGCATTACGGAGGTCTTTGGGGTCAGCAGGTGTGTGGGGGGGTCAGGGGTGTTGGGGGGTCACGGTGCAGGCAGCCCCGCCACTCACCGCAGGTTCTCCCGGATCCTGCTGGCCTCCATCTGCCCAATGACACGCCGCAGCATCTGCAGGTCCAGGTCTTGGGAATCCGCAGCGCTGGGGGCTGGGATGGCGAAGTGGCCCAGGATGACCCCCAACCCCAGAAAGGCCACCGCGCCCACCACCAGCCCCAACCACTTGGCCCAATGCATCTTGTGCAACCTCGGCCCTTGGAGGTGGCCCTACGCAGGACCTCCTTATAGCTGGGGAGTCAGACTTGGTTAACCATTAGCCCTTGGGTGGTACTGTCCTTTGTCCCCCAGGTAGTAGAGAGAGGGACGTCGTGGAGGGAGCCATGAGCTGTTGGCAGCCACCAAGTTCTGCACCATCCACCCAGAAGTGACCTGCACGGGCATCCAGGAGAGGGGAGGGGTCTCACTCAGCAAAGCAGAGGTTGAGCTAGGACTGCCCGCTGGCTCTGTGAGTGCCACCTGCCTTCTAGCACAGCCAGTTCTGCCTGCTGAGTCCTGTGCTTGCTGTGCGACCTCAGGCAATGCATGCAGCCTCTTGGAACCACAGAAGTGGGGTGCTCTCCTCATGCAGTGTGGCTGGAAAAAACTCTCCCACAGCACATTTTAGCCAAGCCTCTGCCCCCCAATCCCTACAATACAGACCCTAGAGATAACGCAGGAAGGGGCACCCAAAGGACTTCTCCATTCCTCTCCTCAAGGGGTTCTGGTGGATGGGAGGAGGTGGGTCTCTGGGGGAGGGAAAGCTGTTCTAGAAGATATCCCAGGAGAAGCTCAGCATTACTTAACAAGGTGACCTCATTGTTCAACTACTGGCCCTATCCAGAATCCATTGTCCACCCATCCACTCAGCTCCACATCCATTCACTCATCTCCCTGATTCATTCTCTCACCTCTCACTTCCCCACTCACTTCCCCATCCATCTGTCCATCCATCCGTCATCCATCCACCCACTCACTCACCCACTCACCCTTTCATCTAGCCACCCACCCCTTCACCTTCCTATTCATTCATCCACCCATCCACTGGACCAGCCACATGCCCACTCACTGCTTCCCTTTGTACATGCAAGCGTTGCTCATTCATCCAACTCAACACTAGATTTCCGCTAGACCCTGGGGAAGGCAAATTCCCCAGGGAGACAGATGGACACACCATGTGGTGGGCGTGCCTCTGGAGAGAACCGAGAATTCTGCCTGAAAGGGAACTTCTGTGGGATCCTCTGAGGAGAAGCCCAAATGTGCCCCCTGTGAGGGCAGTGCAGGCTGCACCACGACTGGGGCGGGAGAGAGACATGGAGTACATGGTGCAAGTCCTGGGACCCGGGCAGGGCAGGGGAGTTCTGTAGGGTCCACAATGGCTGCCGATGCTTCCTGCAGCCCATCCAGCCCCTGGACTGGTCTGCAGGTGCCTGGAGAGCTGAGGGGCGGAGCTGTGTGTGTGTGTGTGTGTGTGTGTGTGTGTGTGCACATGCCTGTGTGCGATTGCACAGCCTCGTCCGAGCAGCCCCCTTTCTGCTCACACTCTTCTGTGCCAGCCAGGAGGGTCCACATGGGGTGACTAGCCATGGGGCCGTAGGGGTCATCAGTGACTTCAGGGAGATGCACCCGCATGCCACAGGCGGTGCCCAGGATGTGACCTTGGCTCTTCTTATCAGAAGCCATCAGTGTGCGGCACGCACACCTGCTTCATGAGCTCTCCTGGAAGCTGTCACCGTCAGACAGCAGGGTGGCAGAGTCAGCTGATCCATGGAGACAGACAGGGCAGACGATGACACTGCAACAGCGACCCACCCAGCGGACCTTCGCACAGGCAAGGACACGGGCCAGAGGGTGTTCCCACCACCAGCCTGAGCAGGTGAATAGCCTCGTGTGGCACTCAGCAAACCCCCTGGGACCATCAGCAACGCTGCTGTGGCACCCTGTGAGAATTCAGAGTTCCTTCCCTTGTCTTAGTCAGGTGGCTGGCAAGGAATGTTCTGGATCCTTCCAGGCCTTTGTTGCATGGTGGCTCCAACCCCAGCAGCTTCAGGCCCTCTGTGGCAGCCAGCTTCCTGTACCTGCTCCAGTGGCTCTTCCAGCTCCGGCTGACATCTTAGCAGCCACCACCCCACGGGAGGCCCTGAGCCAGCAGCATCCCCAACCTCCATATCCGGGTTACCACCCCGTGGGAACTGCGTGAGGTAATACATACTAAGGTTTTCAAGCTGTCACACTTTGGAGTCATTTCTTAACAAACGCACAGGACCCAGTATGAGGGCACCGCACAGGACTGGTAGGGCTGGGTGTTGGGCACAAAGGTTATGACGATGCAGAGGGGAGTGCCCAGGGTTAGAGACCTTGCTCCACTTGTGAGGCCCAGCTGCCACCCTCAAGGGAAACTCAGATTGGGTTCTTGGTTTCTGACTTTGGCCTGGCCCCAGCCGCAGCTCCCTCAGGCATCTACAGAGTACACCAGAGGGGAGACGACAGCTGTCTCTCCCTCCTCTCTCTGTGTGTTTCAAATAAAAGGCAAATATAATCTAAAGTTTACAACATGCAGATGCAAGACTGTTGGTGGAAAAAATGGAATTAAAAAGATATTCACTTGGGGCCCAGTGGCGTGGCCTAGTGGCTAAAGTCCTCACCTTGAACGCCCCACTGGGATCCCATATGGGCGCCGGTTCTAATCCCGGGAGCTCCACTTCCCATCCAGCTCCCTGCTTGTGGCCTGGGAAAGCAGTCGAGGATGGTCCAAAGCCTTGGGACCTTGCACCCATGTGGAGACCCGGAAAAGGTTCCTGGATCCTAGCTTCGAATCGGCATAGTATCGGCCCGTTGCGCTCACTTGGGGAGTGAATCATCGGACGGAAGACTTCCTCTCTGTCTCTTCCTCTCTGTATATCTGATTTTCCAATAAATAAGTAAATATTAAAAAAAAAAAAAAAAGATATTCACTTGGACCCAGAGCAGTGGCCTAGCAGCTAAAGTCTTCACCTTAGATAAGCCGGGATCCCATATGGGTGCCAATTCTAATCCCGGCGGCCCTGCTTCCCTTCCAGCTCCCTGCTTGTGGCCTGGAAAAGCAATCGAAGATGCCCTAAAGCCTTGGGACCCTGCACCCAAGTGGGAGACCTGGAAGAGCTCCTGGCTTCTGGCTCCTGGCTTCAGATCGGTACAGTACTGACCGATGCAGTCATTTGGGGAGTGAATCATCGGACAGAAGATCTTTCTCTCTGTCTCTCCTCCTCTCTGTATGTCTGACTGTCCAATAAAAATAAATAAATCTTTAAAAAAAAAAAAAGATATTCACTTGGGTACAATCAGTTCTGAATTCCACTCAGCTTTCTTGTGATGTAAATTTTCCATGAACTTCTGCACAATCAATGCCTGCTATAGTTGGGAAAAACCTCGGCTGTTTATCTCCAGCTGACCCTACTCCCTGAGCTCTGTTTTTAAGATTTTTTTTTTTAATTAAGAAGGCAAATTTACAGAGAGAAGAGACAGAAAGATCTTCTGTCTGCTGGTTCAGTCCCCAAGTGGCTGCAATAGCCAAAACTGAGCCAATCCGAAGCCAGGAGCTTCTTCTGGGTCTCCCGCATGGGTGCAGGGACCCAAGGCTTTGAGTCGTCTTCCTTCCGCTGCTTTCCCAGGCCACAAGCAGGGAACGGGTTGGGAAGTGGAGCAGGCAGGACACAAACTGACGCCTATGTGGGAGGATTTAGGATTTAAATCCACAGGTGAGGATTTAGTCACTGAACCATCACACTGGTCCAGCGGTCTTTGCCGCTTCACTCACACGCTCGCTCAGGTGACTAGGAGGCATCTGGCACTCCTCTCACCCAGCGTGTGGTTCCTGATTTTGCTCCTCTCTCCTCCCCCTGCAGGATCCACTTCAGCGGGGGCAGCAGTGTTGCCTTTGCAGCAGAAGCCTGGCTTAGGATCAGCTTCTCACCCTCCAGATTTCCTTTCAAACAGGTGCAGCAGTCAGGGCCATTAAAGTGGTTTATCCGCTGGGCAGCGCCAGTGAGTCGCTCCTTTGATCCCATCGCTAAGCCTGGGTCTTCCTGTGTTTCCATTTCTGCCATACAACACCGCCTGCCGAGCTCGGCAGAGCAGGGGCGGGCCCTCGGGTTCAGGGTCAAGGGAACTAGTACAGCAGACAGGAAACAGGCGACCTCAAGCTCCCAACAAAACCATTCCCACCAGTTCCCAGAAACCCTGCTTCCCTACCTCCCAGGCTGCCACAGTGGGGATAAGGCCCCAACACGGGGGTTGGAGGGGAAGAAACACTCCAGCCACAGCTGAAGCCCATTCTCCCCCAGCAGAGTCTCCTGTGGAGCTCATCCCAGCTGTGCACCCAAAGGGACACAGAGGCACCGACGGCTCTAGGGCCCTTCCCGTCCCTAGCCTCATACCCCTGCCCTGGATCAAGACTGCAGCCACCGTGGCTCAAACGTCCCTTCTCCAGGCTCTGTCCTCAAGCTCTCACACCACACCACTCTCTCCCCGGTTGGTCCAGTTCCCCTCCCCCCCGACCTTCTTCATTTTTCTCTGTTGTTTCTGTCCCCTTCTGTAGGAGGACATTGTAACCCTAGAAGGTCAGCGAGCACAGGATTACAGTTGATTGGATAATATTTGCATGAGAACAACCAAATGGCCACCTTTTGTATACCTGATTGGATACCATTTGTATAACAGGTGAGTGGACAGTGTGTGTGTGAGAACACTTGGTGGAATATACAAGACAAAAGGAGTTCCAAACAAAAGCAGAGAAACAGTTCATGGGTTTTGTTGCTAAGCTCAATACCTCTTCTCTTAACCAATGTAACCCTCAGTGTATAAAGTCTGATGCCACTAATAAACTTCAGCTTTGACCATCGGTCAAGGTCCACGCGTTGTTATTGTCGGCTCCGTGCAGCAAACCCATCCCTGCGGGACAGCGACACCCTTGTAGGGCTGAAGCCCCATAGCCTAGAGTAGTGTGCCTGACACCCAGGACAAGAGTTTGTGGGGCATAAAGCCCGCCCAGAGGGAGCCACAGTTGTGACACCGTGGCAGGGGCACGCGTGTTCTCTTGAGGTGATCTCCTCAGAGAGGGATTTTCCCAAGGGGCAGAGGGCAGGAAGAGCAGATCCTGGCTGTGGGGCGGGAGCCTGGGAGTGCACAGTGAGGCTGGGCTGCTCGCGTTAGCTGGAGGACGT